GGAGGTTTACTACTACTGACCTTTTAGAAAATGAGACTTTGGGCCAAATGAAATGAATCCGAATGCCTCATTGCATGTGTTGTTTCTCCAGTAATGAGCAGAACCAAATTGTTTTCTGTTACAGCAATAGTGGGCTCATAGCCACCACAACACGAAGATTAAAATGCACAAGCAGTAGAGTATGCTTGCCTTTTACATTGGCTTAGGTACATAACTGGCAAATACATTTTAGATAGTTTCATTTAACCCCTTCATAATTGGTGAGGCGGGAAAACAACGTTGATTCCTTGTCAGCAGGGCACCATTGACTAGAAATTGTCTTGGTGAGGGACTGGACAAGGAAACCATGGAATGAGCATAAATGAGTTTCTAATTATTGTTTTGGTGCTATGCAACACCCACCGCCACTTAGCAATCTAGCTCTGCTGTAACATAAATACCCGCAGTGGATGGCGTTGACAAGCACTTGTATTTGTTCACTCTTTAGGAAGCTAGGTGTCTGAAATCAGAGCACCATGGGAAGGTGTTCTCCTCTATCTTCTCTGGATGAAGGTCTGAAAGTTAGTCTCAACCAGTAATTCCCAAACTGGTAGGAATTCCATTGCATGGTGTGTGGCAAAGGAGCCAGAGAGCGTTCCTTTCCTGACACCCAAGGCAAACCTGTCCTTAGTATTGATACAAATTCCCTGGACACTCTCCTTCTCAAACAGCTCAATGCTATAACCAGTCAAATGGTCTAAGCCTGTTTCTCTATACGTAGCACTCCCACATGAGTTACACACTTAGGACACACTGCACAGTGCTACTTGTATGTGGACATGTCTGTCAAGAACAATCACGATTCTTCAAGTGATCACTTTGTCTAGTGACAACATAAGTAACTGTGATGAAATTTAGAGCACTATTCTGAATCAAAGTGTGCTGATGAGGATAAACCCTAGGGGTGGGGAGAATCAAACAGAACCCAGAATAAGAAAAAGTTTATAAGTCTCTACCTGTTACCCGTTTTTATTGCTTTCTCATGTATACATGTTCATGCATAAATTTATTTACTATTGATACCAAGTGAAATACTGTCGTTCCTTTGAATATTGTTGTTGTTCACTGCCATTGAGCTGGTTGCAACTCACAGCAACCCATGCCCAACAGACAGAAACACGGCCTGCTCCTGGGTCATCCTCATAATTGTTCTTATATGTGAGCCCATTGTGGCAGCCATTGTGCCAATCCATCTTGTCAGGGAGTCTTCTTTTCTTCTCTCTCCCTGCTGTATCAAGTGAGATGTCTGGTCCTGAAAACATGTCCAAAGTACGTGAGATGAAGTCTCATCGTCCTTGCCTCTAGAGAGCACTCTGCTGTACTTCTTTCAAGACATTGGTTTGTTCTCACGGCAGTATATGGAACCTTCAATATTCGTTGTCAGCACCATAATTAAAATTGATGTAGTGAGTATTAGAATAGCTATAGATACACATTCGTGTGACCAGCATGTAGGTTCTATGAAGTTCCATGTCTTAAATAACAAAATACGGTGTAAATGTAAAAGGAATTAAAAGTAAGTCAAAATATGAAAATCAAATATAACTTCAGTTTAGAAACTATGCTTTAGTGGAAGATATATCTTTCTATAATGTTTAGCAGTAAGTCAAAGCAACCCACTGCCATTAATTGCAATTTATAGCAACCATATAGGGAAACTTTGAAATGCTCCAAAGAGTTTTTTGGGTGTAAATATTTACAGAAGGAGCTGCTCCTTTGTTCTTCTAGGGAATTCTTCTAGGGAATGGCTGGTGAATTCCAACAAGTACCCTGCCCAGAACTGTGGACATTTCAGCGAGGAGGCCAGTACCCACCATGGCGCTACCAGGGCTCTTCAGTCAAACACATGTTGAGTGAAAATTAAAATACAAGTTTGACTTAGTGATTAACTTCTACACCTTTTTTGTGATAAGCCCCAATATCTCATAAAATTAATTCTTATTATAAGACACACATATTTTATACTACCAGTTAAAAGAAGTAGAAAATGAAAAATTAAGAGATTTTTTACCTAAAGATTAGAAAAAACGGCTTTATTAGGTAGTTCCTTACGTTGTGTAAGAAAAGTATTGATAAAACATTTCTGAGATTGTTTCACTTAATGGTTTTAAGGCAAGGATGATTAAACACTACATTATAATATCTGGCAGAAGTTAATATTTTTAGAAATTTAATGTAAAATAAAAATGCAAAACATTTCTATCTGTAGTTCAGTTTTTATTATACTCCTTATAATGACACTCCAATAACTTTGGCAGCATTTTGAATAGCTGGCAGTTTAAACAAAATATGTCAATTTACTATACGGTCTCATGTCACGTTCCTCTAAAACACAAATATTGAACCTCATCACATGTCACTTCATAGCACTGTTCTGGCAACATCTTTGTAGCATATCTAAGCTCTTTTGAAAAGTAGAATCTAATCAGCACAATGGGAGATAAAATATCATTCCTCCTGTGGCTGTAATCACCTGGTTGGTGAAATAAGCCCTGCGCAGGATCACTTTAAATTGCAAGTACTCTGAAAATAAATATGCTCGTTCATCTCAGCTAATATGTTCAAGGGGATTAGTAAGTAATAATATTGAATACAGATGGAAATTTTTATACTTATTTACTTTTTATTAGCAAGACAAACAGTTTTCATTGTAAAACTTTAGAAAAAATAGTCCAATTATTCTACCAGTGAGGCCAATCTCTTTCTGGTATGATATTTTGACTTTTTTTCCCCCTATACATACTTTGAGGACTACTTCTTTGCAATTTGGTTGAATATGTTATACTGCTAAGTAATATTTTGATTTCATGCCAAATAGATTGATTTCTTAAAAACACCCCAATTTTTACTGCTTTTTCATGTTGTGAAAACAGTTATTTTATTCAAATTGATTCCAGAAACACTGCAGAGTTGCTGATTCAAAAAAAAAATGCCCAAAAGAAAAATAATACTCCTATTTCTTAAAAGAGTCAAATGAATGTCTCTAAAGCAGCACCATAAATCCATGATGAAGTGAACCAACGTAGATATTACATATATTATAAACATTTTCATAACACATATAGGTTTAGTTACAAGAAAAGAATTTAATTTTCTAATAAATTATTTGACTCTGTTTTCTCTCTTTCTCTTATTTCACCAGTGTCCAGAATAAAAGGTAAGTACAAATCACACCAGCCCATCACAAGAGTTGGTAACAAAATGACTGACCCTAGAATACATTCACACACACACTTAATACAGTTCAAACAGAAACAGCCTAGAGATAACCAATTCTCTTCGGTCTGAGAGAGGAGGAGACTTTTTAACATATACATGTTGGCATTTAGAGAGGTTAGGGGGATTATGCAGGACAAGTAAGCTAATTGTATTTATTTTTTATTTCAATAAGGAAGATTTTTTAAAAAGAAGTTTATATGAATTTGGTATTGGTTGCTAATCATAACAGAAGAGTGTGTAATAATGCAGACTCTCCCTGTGCTATAGATTGTCAGCTCTTTCCAAACATTTTCAGTTTTCCCCTTATTCATTCTCACAGCTGCGTGTGCAATAGGTGTTGAATCTAAACCCTTACGTGGATTCTAGCCTATTTCTTATGGGCCAACTCTTTTATAGGAATACAATGTATTTTGGTTAGAAGTATATGAGGAGGGACCCCCAAGCTTTCCCCCCCAAAAAAACCCCTCCACTGTGCAGAGTTTTTGTTGTATGCATTCTTCCTGCTAGTCAACCATTGAACAACTCGCTCTGAGTTAGTGCACCCAGTACTATCACCTGCGAAGGTTCTATCTGGTCACAGTGAATTGCCTCGTAAAAGCAGTTTTGCTCGAACTTGCTTTTTGTGATGGCCAGTTTAAGTTAGAACAGCATGCACCTGTGAAATTTTGTATCCTGTTTGGGGGAACAAATGTTGCAGAAACTGTTGTGATGTTGAACACATCACTATGGGAAAATCTCAAGTGTACAAGTGGTATTTTGGGTTCCAAAAGGTGAAATGTGGATTGATGACAAACCTCATTTTGGACATCCTTCAACTCTCCTAATGGACGAAATATCAACTTGTGCATTTGCAGTTTGTTCTACCAGGTCAGACTGTTAATCAAGCTTTCTATTTAGAGGTTCTGAAAAGATTGCATAACTGTTCCCGACACAAAAGGCCTGATTTGTGCTAAACAGGGACTGTTTTTGACACCACAACAATAAACCTGCTTAAGCAGCCATCTCAGTGTGCCAGAGTAAAAGCAACATGCCTCTTTTGCCCCAGGTACCTTACTCACCTGCCATCCCTCCATGAGACTTCTTTTTGCATCCGTAAGTGCAGGGCAATGTGAAAGGACAGTGATTTCACCAATTAGAAGAAGTAAAGAAAAACACAAGGGAGGTTCTTTCAACCATCCAAATAGAGGAGTTTGAAAAATGTTTCCAGGAATGGAATCGCAGATTCAACAAAGGTATTAAGAGTAATGGAAAGTACTTTGAAGGTGATAAGGTAAGTTTTGTTTAAAAAAATTAAATACATAGTTTTAAAAAAAATTCTGTTTTCTTTGTGTACCCCCTCATATAATTGATGTGTGTGTCAAATAGGTGATATATAATATGGCATGTAATGTAACAATTATATATGTGTGTTTATATTACCACTACTTATTTACTAAAACTTTTTATCCAATCTGATATGTGAATGATAATTGAGCTGAATCAAAATGGCTCCTCAATTAAAACCAAACATTTTTGTTCATTAAAAGATGTTGTTTAAAATAAAATAATAATACATTCCAAGTAAACAATTTTCAAGTAAGGGTGTAACTAAAACTCACACATAGAAAAAAAATCAAATGGAAACAAATCATAGATTTGGGTTAAATATTTCATTCAATGCCTCCACACACAGCAAGTACAGTATTTGAATTATAAGAAATCCTTCTCCAATAAGTCATTTGAAACTTAGAAACCTCACTCACCATTGCGGCTCTCTTCATCAATAGCAACTATAGTCGCTGGGGGTCCTCCCCTAGCTAGTTTGCAATCTACAGGTGAAAAAAAAAAAAAAAAAAGGCATCATTTACCAATCGCAAGGTCAGTCACTTTAAAACCAAATTCATCATTTCTTATACTACAATTCAGTTGATAGGCATTTTAACTTCTAGAAATTATTTATAAAGTGTTCATAATAATCAAATAGTTTCCTAAATGCACCATTGCATAAATCACGTTGTATATCACAAAGCTCTTCCAGCCATACAAAAGAAATGCCAGCAGAGACCACTGGAGAGCAGAAATTCTCCAGGACAGAGATAATGGGATGATAATTTAACCCAAAGAAAGAACATAAAGGAATGATTAACAAGGATAAATTGTAATTAAAGCTTCAAAACAGAAACAAATATAATTGGACTTTAATTGTGATGAAGAGTCTAATTAAAATGATTGAATAGAATTTTAATAATGTTCTAAAGAGAATAAAACAAAGACAGACAAGCAATGCTCATGAGGTTGCTTAAGATTTTTATTTTTGTCATCTTACCCTCATATTGCCAGTCTGGGGTCAAAAGTATAGAGTCATCAATGGAAGCAGAGAAGAAAAATGGAAGAAAGAAAGGAAGAAAGAATATATGTATATATTTAGCAAGAGATTTAAATATATAGAAAAGAATTACACAGTTACAAATACATTACTTAGTGATTTGTGAAAATGGGATACAGAGACATCTTTAAATCAGATTTGATAATTCTAGTGTAATATTAACACATTAGCTTTATAATATATGTCATTAGCATCTTAAAAGTTGCTATAAACTTTCAAATACTATGAAATGCTTTTATATGTTCATCAAAAGATAAATGCTGATTACTTATGAATAGTCTATTATTTCTATTTTGAACAAACTGTAAGAGAAGTAGAGAACATTATACTTAGCAAACTCAGCCAATCTTACAAAGTTAAACATTGAATATCACCATTATTAGAAGGAAAATTAAGGAAGCAGAAACATAATTTATACACCAATAGACAAGACTTTAATGACTATGAAGAGGACAAGGGTTGGAACTTGGAGAGGGGATGAATGAGGAGGGGGAGGATAAGTGTTTAACATGAATAAATAATAGTTAATTAAATTAAAATATTTCATGAAAAAAAGAAACCTCCAGATTACCTAGCCCTCAGATCTAAATATTGTTTTGCATGGCTCAAAAAGGAGAAAAGTAAAACTGAAGGGGACTTGGAATCTTTAATGACATACAATTTCATTTCAAACATAAAAAAATATATAAAAAGGATAGTGTCTATCAATCAGGAGCGAGGACTAATGCATTATTGAAAACCTTGCTAATACCATGCTACATGTCGCATAGAAATGGGCATAAAATGAATTTTAATACTCAGAAGAATGGAAATTTGCCCACAGGTGCCAAATGAGTAGTACCACTTAGTGACCCCGGCAGTGTTACATACACTGCTATAGATCCATGACATAGTCCTGTAACTATCCCTTAGATCAGCTTTGCTTAAAGTCATACAATTATGTGAGTCATTAGGAAGAGAATAGATTTTTAAAGCTTTTTTAATGAACTCTACTATTTATGATGAATATAGATATTAATATCAAGACCTTTTGTGAGCAAATTATTATATAAAGTATGTAGTCCCGTAAATGAGTTTGATATATCTCAGACACAAAACAACCTTCTTAATTCTTACCAACATTTAGTTTCAGTCACAACATGTAAAATCTTAAGGAGCTAAAGTTTCGTACACTCATCTCTCCTGCCTATTCTCTGTGGTATAGCTGGTCAACTCTACCCTTGCATGATCTCCTTCCTGCTCGCCCCAAACCTTTTCCTACTTTGTATCCATCATTCTTTCCATGAGAAGTGTCTTCATATATGAAGGTAAAATAATGGCACTCCTTTGCACAAAGCCTTTCTAAATTTTCTTTTAAAAAAGCAAAATATCAATTTTTCAAATTATGATCTCAAGCCATGTCCTTCAATTGCATTACAAAATGACTCTTGCCTAAGCATTCTTTGTATTTTAGGGAAATCTCTGTGCCTAGAATGTCTCTCTATCTCTACTTTTTCCATGGTAGATCTCTACCTATCTTGTTGGAATTTTATGTTTCTATTGATTGACCTTTGTTCATTCCTCCCAAAGAGAACTTATCTTTCACACACATAAGCACACACTATTTTTAAGTCTAATTTAAATGTACTGAAACATTATTCAAATAGTCAAATACATAGATTAATACAATGTGCAGCATTTGAGAACTAAAAATTAATAATAAGCAAATCTTTTCTTTAAGGATTTTGAATGGGAAGGCCTAGGAAGAAGATAAGACAAAGACATACTTGTATAAACAGTCATAGTAGCGTGTGGGATAAGTGAAAGAAGCCCTTTAATTAACTTATTGGCAACACAAATGATCAAAAGAAGAAAAAAGACAGTGCATGTGGGGAGTAAAATGAGAAAGTAGATGTGATCTCTAAAGGAGAGAGAACAAAGGAAGCCAGGCTAGTTCATACAGGACCAGTTCTTACAAATATCTCTTCCATTTAAATTTCAGATAGAGAGGAGATTTTAAGACTATTCTTTTCCTATTCTATGCTTATTGTAGCTGTCTGAGGTAAGATCTCATCATGGTGCTGGAAAGTGGAAAAAATGTGTGTGTCCTATCCTTCCCCTTCCCCAAGAAGAATTCACTTCAGAGGACAGCACTGAAGCTACAGCTCAGGGAGAAGGACACCACATCTTATCAGAGCACACAGGAGCAAATGAAGAGGGAAGAAGAGAGAGTGGAGCACATCCTTGCCCCTTAAGACCCATGGATGATAGTCCAGTTCTGAGCAGCCAATGTATAGAGAGTAATATAGGACTGGCCCCACCACAAGACAAAACATCCCTCACTGACCCATAGCACTATGAGGGACAATACTGGAGGCACAGTGGGAATTGTGCCTGATCTGACCTCACCAGACTGGGGCAAAATGCAAAGGGTGTGCCACAGAGCAGGAAGGGGAGCAAAGCAATGAAGTTTTCGGGGAACACCAAAAATATACATTGGGGCCAGGTTGTGGCATCCCATCAGACTGGACTGGAAAACACTCCTAAAGGTCAACAAACAGACCTGAAACTATATATAAGCTTTTCTTTACTTTTTTTTTGCCATTGTGTTTTTTGTTGTTGTTGCTTGGTTCTGTGGTTTTCTTTTGTTGTTTTGAAAGAAGTTAGTGTAAACAAACCCAGGGATAAGGGAACAACCAGTGATCTAAAATCAATGGTGAGTAGGGCGTAGGATGGCTGGTAGGGCTTGATCAAGGGCAATGTAAAAGAGAGGAATTATTAAAAGCCAAATGAAGGTTGAACATGATAGTGGGGCAAGAGGAAAGTAAAAGGAAATAGAGGAAAGAAATAGGAGGCAAAGAGCATTTATAGAGGTCAAAATACACACATGTACATATATAAATGTTTTTATATAAAAAAAGGGAAATATATCTATGTACATATATTTATAGGTTTAGTATTAAGGTAGAAGATGGACATTGGGGCTCTACCCAAGTACTCCCTCAATGCAAGAACATTTTGTTCTATTAAACTGGCATTCCATGATGTTCACTTTGCGCTGAAGACAAAGCAGGTGCATAAGCAAATGTGATGAAGAAAGCTGATGGTGTCCAGCTATCAAAAGATATAGGATCTGTATGAGCCCCTAATAAAATGTTTAAAAAAAAACAAAACAAAACAAAAAAAAGATATAGCATCTGAGGTCTTAAAAGTTTGAAGATAAACAAATGGCCATCTATTAGAGAAGCAACAAAGTCCACCTGGAAGAAGAACACCAGCCTGTGTGATCATGAGGTATCAGTGGGATCAGCTATCAGGCATCAAAAACCCAGAACAAAAAATCATATCATTGTGAATGAGGGGGAGTGGGGACTGCAGACCCAAAGCCCTTCTGTAGACAATTGGACACCCCCTTACAGAAGGGTCACAAGAAAGAGACAAGCTAGTTAGGGTGCAGTATAGCACCAATGAAACAGACTTTTCTCTAGTTATTTAATGCTTCCACACCCCCGACCCCCACCTACTATTAAGACCCCAATTCTACCGCACAAATCTGGCTAGACCAGAGCATGTACATGGGTACAGATAAGAGTTGGAAAGACAGGGCATCCAGGACAGACAAACCCCTCACGACAAATAATGAGAGTAGCAATACTAAGATGGTTAGGGGAAGGTGGGGGGAGAAAGGGAGAACCAATCACAATATCTATATATAACCTCTTCTCAGGGTGATGGACAATAGAAAAGTGGGTGAAAGGAGACATTGGTCAGTGCAAGTCAAGAAATAATAATAATAATTTATAAATTATCAAGGGTTCATGATGGACAGAGGGTTGAGGGGGAGGGAAAAATGAGAAGCTGATATCAAGGGCTCAAGTATAAAGAAAATGTTTTGAAAATGATGGTGGCAACAAATGTAAAAATGTGTTTGAGACAATGAATGGATGTATGGATTGTGATGAGCTGTATAAGTCCCCAAAAAATGATTTAAAAAATAATATTAAAAAGGAGATGAATCTTAAAATTAAAACACACAAAAAAAATGCTTGTGACCTTTAATGTGGAATCTGTAGATGAGAAAATGTTTAACCAACAGATTTATGGGCAGAAAGAAAGAAAAAATGGAGGTAGAAGCTGGGCATCCATATTTTAAATCCCTATTCTCCACACCTTATCCTAGTTGAGTTCAACTCTACTCCTGTAAACAGTTACAGGCTCAGAAATCCACAGCAGGGGCGGGGTCCTCCATGAGTCAGCACTGACTCAATAGCAGTGAGAAAGGGAGCTCTGGCGGTGCAGTGGTTATGTGTTGGGCTATGAGCCATATGGCCGGCAGTTCAAAACCACCAAAGTTCTGCAGGAGAAAGACCTGATAATCTGCTTCAGAAACAATTAGGGTCTCAGAAACCCACAAGGGGTCACCATGAGTCAGCATTGAGTTTTGGGTTTTTTAAGACTGGAAGG